GGATGAACACAGCAGGCCAAGCAGCATCATAGGAGCAGAGAGGTGCTGCTTGGCCTGCTGTGTTCATCCAGCCCTGCACCTTGTTGTCTCTGGAGTATTGTGTCCAGTTCTGGTCGCCTCATTACAGGAAAGATGTGGAAGTGTTGGAAAAGGTGCAGAGGAGATTTACCAGGATGTTGCCTGGAATGGAGGGAAGGTCTTACAAGGAAAGGTTGAGAGAGCTAGGGCTTTTCTCTTTAGAACGACAAAAGATGAGAGGTGACTTGATAGAGGTGTACAAAATGATCAGAAGTGTAGATAGAGTGGACAGCCAGAGACTTTTTCCGAGGGTGGAGGTAGTTATTATGAGGGGGCATAGTTTTAAAGTGAGTGGAGGTAGATACGGGGGAGACATTAGAGGTAGGTTCTTTACTCAGAGAGTGGTAGGGGCGTAGAATGCATTGCCGGAGAGGGTAGTGGAGTCGGCCTCATTAGGGGCATTTAAGCGGCTATTAGATAGACATATGGATGATAGTATAAGGTAGGGGTGGAGGTAGATAGACCTTAGGATTAGGGTAAAAGTTCGGCACAACATCGTGGGCCGAAGGGCCCCTACTGTGCTGTACTGTTCAATGTTCTATGTTCTATGTTTTAATGCACCTCTGGGGCAGGTGAGACTTGAACCCAGGCCTTCTAAGCCAGAGGTAGGGACATTACCACTGTGCTATCAAATGCACAAAATAGCAATAGTGAGAATCATAGTCAGTAGGATGATAGCATAAACCCTGTCTGATTGCCTGCCTCCATTTCCAGCACAGGGACACCAATGCCAATTATAAAGTCACTGCATTGTACCACCCAGTATACCAAGGAAGTGACCTTTTTTTTCAGTTGATGTTGAGAGTTACTGAGAGTCAAAGGAACCAAGATGAAAGCATTCAGATTGGTCAACAAACTCAAGGAACAAGATTGCTACCTGGCAATAATGCCAGATGCAAAAAAAAAAGTGGGCATTTAAATTACTTTCCAAAGTTCAAAATGAGATGGTCATTTTAAATGATGCCCATTTACCTGAACAATTTCTTTGCTTTTTGTGAATGGGGGTAACTCCTGATTTTCTTCTGGTATTCTTCATCAAAGTCAGGAATTGTATAAACTGATCGGTCAACAATGTAACGCGGACGGAAATGCATCTCGCTCAAAACCCTGTAGAGTAATCAAAATGCAGATAATGATAAACTAATTATCAAGTTTCCAGCTCTTCAGGTGACTATTGGAATGATGCATTGACTGGATTTATGGAGAACATGTAACAAATATCCCAGGTAGAAAAGAATGGGCGAATTCCTGCTTTAGGCTGTATCTGATTCTTTCTTCTATGTTGCCAAATTTCATCCCAGTAATGACCGCCCAGGAACTGGCCATTTGAACATCCAGATTTGTCTTGACTTAATTGTTAGCACTCTCACCTCATTGCATATATTCCATTTAATTGGCTGTAAAATGTTTCGAGATGTTCTACAGTCAAGAAGGCAGTATATCAATGTAAATCTTTATCCATTTAATTTGGCCCAACTAGTTCATGTTGGTGATTATTCTCCAGATAGGTGCCCTTGCACACTTCTTTCTTCCCTCATATATCTACTTAATGTTCTTTAAATAATATAATTCACTATTCTACTCAACTACATCTTGTTGTCACAAGTTCCACCTTTACACATTTTCTGGGTGAAGAAAGTTCTGCTTTAATTTTATCTGGAGTCTGTTTATGTGGGGAATGAGGGTGAATTCTGTGCTTGTTCTTGGCAGGTGTGTCAGTGTCAGCGATCAGTAACATCAAAGATTTCCATGCCTGGCCTAGTGTGTGATAACTCTAGGCAACTTCAAAGTGTTCTCCACACCCATAGGAGGCAACAGATTCTACTGTCCCAATGCCCTTTTACGGGGGAGGCAACGGCCTAGTGTTATTATGGCTGTCAATCCAGAGATTCAGGTAATGTTCTGGGGGCCCAAGTTCACATCCCGTCAGAGCAGGTGGTAGAATTTGAATTTTAAAAAAATGTGGAATTAAGAGTCTAATAATAACTGTAAATTCATTATCAATTGTTGGAAAAAACCCATCTGGTTCTCTAATATCCTTTAGGGAAGGAAATCTGCCATCTTTACCTTGCCTGGCCTATATGTGACTCCAGACAATCAGCAATGTGGTTGACTCTTAACTGCCCTCTGGGCAATTAGGGATGGGCAATAAATGCTGGACTAGTGACAGCCTCATTGCGTGAATTAATTTAAAAAAAGGGAGGTTGGTGGGTAGAGATTACATGGGGAGATTACAGCTTACATCAGTAAACCACATGGTCCAAGTGGTATGGATCTCAAGATTAAACATATGCTTCAAGCAACTCTGCAACACAACGAGTGTAAGAGAGTAGAGGATAGGTATGTAATTCACAATTAAGAGGTCTCCCTCTTGAACATAAATGCTTGTCTTGACCTCATCCTTATTAAAAATGCCTAAGCAGTTAAACTGGTCACAATCAACAGTGAAGAGGCATTTGTCCTGGTGTTGAGTTTAAAATTATTAAGGAGTCCATCGATTTTAGCCTCTTCTTGCCAAAACAACTGGTTTTATGGATCACCAATTTCGCCTGGGAATAGATGTGATATACTTTCCATTGCTCTGCCTAACCAACATCCTGTTGTGAGTAGCTATTTGATATTCATTGCTCTCTAATTGTATTCTGATTCTGTATGTCTTCTGAAAGTGATCGCTTTTTTACAAACATAACATTTTTTAAAAATAGCTAGGTACTGTTTGTACCTGTGAGGTTTCCTTGTTCCACAGCACTGAGACCAACTCTGATTAACTGCTCAAATGAAAACAAGGTATTCTGGATTGTGCAGATCTGAAATAAAAACAGCAGTTCAGAGAAACTCAGCAGTTCTGAGCTAAACTCATAATATATCAGGCTCAATGTTTTGAATCCAATATGACTTTTCTTCAAAACCCCAATTTCTGAAGAAGAGTAATATCAGACTTGAAACATGAGCTATTTCTCTCTCCACAGATGCTGCCCGACCTTCTGAGTTTCTCCAACACTAATTGTTTTTATTTCTGAATGTCTGTTGACTGAACTAATCATTTCTTACGTGTGTCTAGCTGTTTGAATCTTACAATCTGAGTGGATGCTGTTTCTTTCCTGTGATAATATTGCCCTTTTCCTCTCAGGATTTCTCCATTGTTCTTTCTAATTTCTAATTCTGAATGGCATTCTCCAAAGTCGAATCATCTTTGGTCATGAATTTGACAAAGACTTACCAGCAATTACAACAACAATTTTGTTTCATAAAAACTGAAAGAACCACGGATGCTGTAAATCAGAAACAAAAACAGAAATTGCTGGAAAAGCTCAGCAGGTTTGACAGCATCTGTGGAGAGAAATCAGAGTTATCATTTCGGGTTGAGTGACCCTTCCTCAGAAGGGCCTGAGTTCTGAGGAAGGGTCACTCGACCTGAAATGTTAACTCTGAATTCTCTCCACAGATGTTGCTAGATCTGCTGAGCTTTTCTAACAATTTTGTTTCCTTTGACATCTGATTTCAAAAATGCAATAGTCACATTTCTTCAACATTCTATATAGCTTATTAATAAAGTTATCCATAGATTCCCCTGAATACTGAATTCTTCTGTTAAATCTGTTATTTAAAGAATTGTATTTGTTGTATTAATAAAATAATTGTTAAAAGCTTTTAGAAATTCATCAAATGTATTTGCAGCTTCTTTTATGCTTTGGAAGCTTTAACATCATCAGTCACTGTTCTAATTGAATGCAAAATTATGTTTGATGTTTCAGCTTCTGACTTAGTGTCCAATTTGGAAGCATACCTATATCTTAAGAACTGTTTTCTCCAAGATGTCCAATTCTGTGTTCTACTTGGCTCATATTTGAAATTAAATCTGCTTGACAATATTGTATTTGTATATTGACCATATCTTTCCATAATTACTTACTGTTCTTCTTCTAAAGGTGCTTAATTCTGCTGTATCTCAATGTTGTTTTATTCTCCTTGCTTTAAATTATTTCAGTTCTGCAGCATAATAATTCTACTATTGAGTACAGTTGTACTGGACAGTTTTCCTGTGCTTATACATTTGAAGTAGAAGATTCCTGCCTTTTGCAAGTAAAATCTATAACTTCCACATTGTGCACATACAGTGGATGATTCCTGACTTTTCACAGCTTAATGAATAATTCCCATTTTCTTTAAGGCTACACAGAAAAAAATCCCACTGCCTGCAGCTTTAAAGATAATCCAGTTATCTCAATTGCTTTACTGAGTGAATCTTGTGACCTGCGGCTTTATAAGATGAATCTGATTCTTTTTAGCAGATTTCCCTCAATGACCTGGACTGTTTGCTGTGCTGCAAATAATTCTAATTGTCTTATGTTCTTTTTCCTGGATGAGTCCCACTGTCTGCAATCTTAATAAATTCTTCTCGCCATTACAATATTGGATAATAGTTGATCTCCCAGTTTCTTCTGTGACTTCAATTGTCTCCTAATTGTTTTCTTCTGCTAGGCTTTGTCTGCCTAGCCTTCTATTTTGTTCCTTCATTTCTTTAATTCTGGTTTCATGTTCTTCTCCATGTTACAACCTCATTATTGACTTACTTCTGTGGCCCTGACTTTAGATGCTGTAACTATGCCTCATAGTATCTGCTTGCAGTGGCAACACATTCATTATGAGTTTTATGCATTTTGCGTACTTCTAGGTTTCTCAGCCGATAAATGTGCCACACACCTTAAAGCTTTCCCCTTCCCTCCAGGGATTTCAATTTTACTCATGGAGCCTTCAATATCTTTTCACTCTCTGGCTGAAGATTGACATGTGATCATTCCAACAGTTCATCAACACCCAATGCAAACTATAACTGCCAAGTGTGACCAGTGTTCCAGTTCCATGCAACTTCTAGCTCACATTTGCTCACACTCTTCTCTAATCAGCTCTGAAATGTTTTCAGCATTAACTTTCAAATCTACCTTGTGAATTCTTGCCACAAATTGCTCCGCTGCAGGCTTCTGGCCTGTTCAGCTCTTTCAACTATTGGTTGTCAGTAGAAGTTGCCCTCTTAATTCTACATCCTCAGCTAAGCAGAATCTGTACATCTTTCTGTTTGGTGTAAATCATATTCCAATCTCCACCACTGCTCACCATGTATGATAGATTCTCACTAATTGACTGAGTTTTGTCTGAGCTAGCTGTACTCTCAGTCACAATAATGTTGCCATCATCCTCTTTTTAGGTTGGGATCTATCAGGCCTGCTTTGCTCAGTGTTGTAGTGAAAATCCACTAAGTTGTCTAACTAGAAGAGGCTCATGTCTTAAAGAAGCTGCAGCTTATCACATGATAGCAATCAGGTACATGTTACATTGGTTTCAATATACATTGTTACTAAGACTGTGAGGAGACACATCGATGGATCTATCTCCTTTGAGATCCAGAGCTGTTATTCTGCTGAAGTCTACAAGGCACCATTCTATTAGATGGTTCCTATTGCACTTCTCAGCATGAACCCTTTCAGAACCAAACTCTTTCTAGAACTGTGTATATTATACAGATCAGTTTGTGCAGCTGATATGTAGCCATTAGGATCTGGGATTGTTCCACATGATTCCACATAACATCCGTATACCTGGCAATGCTAGTACAACCCTTTACTGATCAGTGTCCATTGGAATAGTGTGATCTTTCATGTTCGTATACCGTGCGCTGTAAGCAGCGCATTGAGTACACTGCATTGTGTTGTACAGGACACCCCTTAAAAAATTCAATCTCTGTATGAAGAAATGTTTGGGAAATCTTCTTGTAACCATTCTTTATCTGATGAAAACAAAAATGCTGGAAATCACAACGAGTCAGACAGTGTGCGTGGACAGAGAGCGCAAGCTAATGTTTTGAGTCTCGACGACTCTTCATCAGACCAAAACTATGCCAGTCTCAATTTAAAAATTTGCAACTTATCTAATATTGATTTCCGTTTGTGGAAGAGAGTTTTAAATTTCTAATATACTTTGTGTGATGAAGTGTCCCTTACTTTACATCTGGAAAGGTCTGCTTCTATTCAATTGGCTCTAGTCACTAGGTTTCATCTAATTTACACCACCTGTCCCTCTTAATATCTTGAAAACATCAATCAGATTTC